TTTGACAAAATAACGTTAAAAAAAAATCATTTTCTCAAACTTCATTATTAGTACATATTTTGAGGATAATTATATCCCAAATCATGTAAAATTGAATCTCACAAATGCCATACCCAAATAATGAAAAAGGAAGGATAAGATTCCTAATCAAGACATGTTGAATTTACAACATCCTACAAATAAGATTTTTTCCTTAGATATAAGTTGCATCATGAAGACATATCCAAGACAATATTCCCATAAAGCATTCCAAAAGCAAATCACAGAATATTCACATACAGCATTTGAAAACAAATCATAGAAGTTTAACACAGTACATCATTGTTTCCAGAAAATAGCAAGGCAATATTTTGCACTATTTAACAAATGAACATCTCCAAAGACAACTAAGAATTAATGAGATAATAAATCCACTCTTGTTTTTTTTTCTTCTGGAAGGGCTTTCAACAATTTGAACTCCTCTAGATCGCCATTCATTAGCTTGTGGATAGCTTTGAACACTTCTTCACTACTAAGCACCGGTATAACCGATACAACCTCATGTATCTCAATGCCACTTGTTTCTCTTCTTGTTTTTTCCTTGCCAGATACTCTTGAAATGAAGTAGCAATAACACCTACCACTTCAGCCAGTGAATCTTTCTTAAACTTTGTTTTTTTCTCTAAGTTTGAATCTGCTGAACTTGATGTCCTTGCTCGTGCTATGAAATCGGAACTAGGAGCCAAGTCTTGCCCAACATCTTCATCCATTGCTTCGCTACCTTCTTGAAAAGTTTCAACATTTTGACCCGTTGCTCTATCTCTTCCACATAAGAGAACAAGGTCATCCCAATTTTCTATCACTTATTTTGCATCCTTTTTGCATCAAGATGTTACTGCATACAGAATAAGTAATTTAGGTTTAGTCACCTGTAACATTCTCCACCCTCTAGTTTAAGTATTGATTGAGTAAGTAACCAGTCTGTAGCCTATCAACAAGTACTAATGATTTTTGTTTTTATTTAATCCAAGGTAAGAACTGGGTGAAAAGTAGGGGCTGCAGCAATGCATGACAGCTTAACTGACATACCGAAAGCGCAATGAACCAAGATAATCACAGAACTACTTGGATGAGCCTACATATTTCTAAAATAGTTTAAAATTTAGCTGAGAAAAAAAAAACAAAGACCATTGTAAGTTTTATCGAAAACATATGCTCCGTTGTAGTTCTATATAACTATTATCATTGTAACACTAGCATCTTTGCGAATGAAGAATGTAGAATGGTTGCCTGAACTCAGAAGCGGAAGTTGGTATATTTTTCCCTTTGTCCTCCTTTGAAAAGAATGGGAAAATGCAGATCAAAATATAGACAACTGTAATTAATACAAGAGCTCTTACAACATGTTTTATCTAAGCCCAGACACAATAATAAATCTTATGAGGAACTCAAGCATAAGAACGGCTTATTATTCAGCTCCTAAATGCAATAGTCTCTGCCCACCTTTCACCAGCAACCGGAAACCCTTACTAAGTTTCTTGATTGCAATGGTTACTGTCAATAACAGATAACATTCTACCTAGTTAGTTTGAGTTTTCTACCGAGTAACAAGAACTGTTTAGAGAATCCCCAGCCATACACACCCATCTTCTCTGCTGGATTTTCTCCAAATAAAAACAAGGGGCAAGAACATATCATAAATCAATACTTAAGTAATAAGTGACTTTTGTGGTGCACCAAGGTAAGTGTACAAGAAATAAGCCTCCAGTTCATATCTATACAGAACAATCAATGAGATAACAATCAAGGAGAGCTCACAGAGACATGAAAAGATAACAATCATCCAATTGAATTATTTGCTCCATATGTTATATATTTGTAACAAAATATAAAAATAAAAAAATAACAGAATATAAATGGCTAACCTCCACATATGCAGCCCAGGAACTTGATTCATCGGAAGTAACAACAATCATTTTCCTATCCTCATCCCAACAAAAACCACTTTGATTAGTTTGGATGTCATAAACTACATTGAAGTGCTTCTTCCAGCTTTTCAGTCTATTTTTTATGTTATCTTTCGTCAAATTCAGATGCAACTTTGCATTTAAGTATGTCACAACAGCATGCAGAACTTGGGGCTTCCAAGTATCACCGTCACACTTGTGTCCAAGAGCCATTTGTTAAGTTAATATGAAAGCCAAATTACTGTCCATATCCTTATTCCAAGATACATATGATTGTTTGTGCTTAACTGAAAAATACATGTAAAAATAAAAATACGCCAATTGAATCAATATAAACCTATCATACAGTATGAAAGGTTACCTTCAACAGCAGCATGAGCAGCATGATCAGTAGAAGCATCATAGGCAGAAAAGCTCCGCTTGGATGTTTTTGTGTTAATTGACATTGAAGCTTTTGTTCCTTTTTTCATCTTGTTATTCATAATTTCTTTATCATCTATAGCCAAAATTATGAAAATTATAAGTTGACAGCATATAGTAAGAATTTTACTCAAATAACTAAACATTATATCACATAAAAAGAGCCAAAGACAAACCAAGTATCACATAAAAATGTTGGAAATATACTATTCTCATCGAGCTTGATACTCATCAAACATTTGTAGGGCAAGATTATCCTGAAAAGCAGTCCACTTGGGAGTAGTTCTGACAACTCTTATATTCTCTTCATCATTAAATTCATCTTCAACTCTAGAACGACTTGTTAGTTCTCTGTCCACTTCAATCAATAAAGGATCAATTAATATCTCACAACACACAAAATTATGCAAAATACAACACGCATTGATGATTCTAATTTGAGTCTTCACACTATAAAAACTAGCAGCCCGCAGAATAGTCCATCTTTTCTTCAGCAAACCGAAATCCGCTTAATTGCATTTCTTGCTGAAGAGTGTTGAAAATTGTACAGCTCTTTGTAAATCTGGGGAATATTTTCTTTCCACTCATTCAAATGATAACGAGTCCATCTATATGGAGCAAGAAAACCAGGACCATTTGTATAACCAGCGTCCACGAGATAATATTAATCTACCAAAAGTATACAGGAAAATAACATCAATATCTTTAAATATTTTAAACTATATATTAGCTAATAAATTTTTAACCTACCATTTGGAAGTCTTAAACCGTTAGTCTTGTATAATGAATCACGCAACACTCGTGCATCCGAAGTGGATCCCTCCCATCCAGGTAGCATATAGAGAAATTTCAAATTAGCATCACAAACTCCTAACACGTTTGTACTTATACGACCCTTCCTATTCCTATATATGCTACAATCCTTCGCTGGAACAGTCAGGTCAACAAAAGTCCCATCTAAAGCCCCTAGTGCATTCTACACAGTTTAATGAATAAGTTTTAAACCATAGTTTTTATAATGCATGTATTTGATAAGAATAAAAGTTGAATAATTACTGGAAACCATCTCCATCTCCTTGTATCCCTCTCATTATATAAACCATCACTTTGTTGCTTGAGATAGATTTTTCCAATTTTTAGTACCGCACGTAGTACGGTATGAAACTGCCTACTTATAGTTTTCCCTGACCGCAAAAATATAGATGTTGTTGTACTATTTTTTTTATCATGAGCGAGAATATGTAGAAATACTGCCACAATTTCTTTTATTGTGACATTTCTTGAAGAACTAGTCCACCCTCATTATGTAATACTTCACATAGTTTGTTAAATGTGTGCACATTTACTCGTAGTTGCCTAAAACATGTAGGATTTAGACATAAGGATCTCATCAAAAGTTCCCTCCGTTCAGCTCTTACATCATTTTTCACGGGAACCTCTTTGATAAAATATTTATTATGGTACCAAGCTCCCAAAACAGCTACGAGAGAAATCAACAAAACAATAATAATGTCCGACTCTTCTTCATCGTTTTCCACATCCACTCTTCTAAGTTTTCTACTACCATTATCCATCAGACCTACATCAATGCCACCTTTGGAGGTCATTTCTAAAAAAATAATACGAGGAATCACACAACATTAAAACAAACTCATAAGAATGAAGAAGCAAACGAAACAAGTATTCAGACTTTATATTCTTCAAGTACCTGAACATATTGATTCTCATCTTCTAGTGTTCTGGATACATGCTAATTGATCAATATAGACTATAGAGTGTGTACTCTTTTTCTTAAAAAAGAAAAAAGAGAGAAAAAAAATAATCTCACCAATATAATAAAATATGATAAAATATTGTTAAGCTTCACAATTTGTTAAATTAACTCCAGATGAATAATATAAGCTCAAGATATTCAAAAATTCAGCAAGGTATGTTATTGACTCCAAAAGTCCATCAGCAATTGACCAGTTTTATAACTGAAGTGACATGTACAAGAGAATAAACTAATTTTGCAATGACAATATCTCACACTAGCTACCCCCTAACAGTTCCATTATCTTCTTAAATATTGGATGCATCAAGAAAACTTAGAGAAGGATAGACAATTAAGTTGTCGAGATAACCATCATTTCCAAGAATTCATTCACTATAATGTTTATCACCAAATGGAAATATTAAACGGAAAAACTTACCTCAAAGGATAATAACAAAAATATACAATGGTGAACTTATGAACATCAACCTACTGAAACACGTGATTAGCACTTTAGCAGGTTTTATTCTTGACACATAAATATATGCTCAAAACAGGAAGGACACAAAAAGGTCATACCATTGAATAATTAATTCTTTTATTTGAATTGCTATGTAGCATTATATTACTACTAAGTCCTCTGTTTTATGACACTGCTCCAATTAATCAAATACTACACTACAATTGAGTCTATTATGGATGAAAAAAGCAAAGTGATTCAGCATGACCTACATTTGCCTATGGGAAAGCATACATAACCTTATAACTATTCTATCTACTATACACATAGTCTGTCGTTCTCTTAGTCTTAGCCACACAAACAAAATCAAGCATCTTTTTATTCTTGAAGCCATAGCAGTAAAAAGGAAATAAACCAGGTCCAAAGTCTTTCTCCTATGCACATAAAACTACAGAGCACATAAATACACACAACAAGCAAACAAAATTATAAAACAAAGGCAATCTATTACCAATATCAAGATCTCTACAAATACTTTGTGTTTATGGAGAGAAGAGCGCTTTTACCGGATCGACTGAGAAGAGGGCTTGTGATCGAGATTGAGAGAAGAGCGCTTTCACCGGATCGACAGAGAAGAGGGCTTGTGATCGAGATCGAGAGAAGAGCTCTTTCACCGGGTTGGATTGAGAGAGAGAGAGAGAGAGAGAGAGAGAGAAGATGTGGATCGATTTTGGGGCTTGTGAAGTGTGATACGTAATTTTGACTTTGCCGAGAATTGAAATGACCAGATTTTTTGGGTCATTTGAAATCCTTGGAATGACAAGTAAAATTCATTGGGCCTTTTCCATAGATTTCAAATCCTTATTTTTTATTGTTATCCAAACAAGCCCAAGAATTTTGGCCTAAGAATTTGAAATCCACATGTCCAAATCACTCCATCCAAACGGAGCCTTATTGATTTAGAGCCCTACCTTTACAAAAAAAATGATAAAATTTCAACGAAAATATATTACAGTGGAATTTCAACGATAATCTAGTGAATATTTCAATTTATTTATTTTTTTATGCAATGGCAGAGATATTTCAATGTTATTACTCTCTTTTAATTTTTTTCAATGAAAAGTTTCTCAAAAAAATATTTTGTTGGAATCATGGGCAGATCCATGTTTATAGGCCCGACACAGGCCCTTATCCCAAAACATCTAGGATAAGGTATCTCACAACATTTATGAGAATATTTTCATAATTTTAATCATGTCTCATATTTTAAACATAAAATTAAAATAAAGAAAATACATGATGAATTACTTTATAACTCAACAATTATAATTTAATTAAGCTCATTTATTAAAGTTATAACATAAACGCGGTATGACAACTAAAAGAAAACGGGTGCGAGTCCACTATCATGAAGCGCACCATGGGAAAACAGAGAAAAGTCCATATGAAGCACAAATGGGGTTCTATCCCAAAACCAATTGGTGGAAAGAGGAGAGACCCATTAGACTTATAAAGTGAGTCTATTTTTCATGTATGAACGATGTGGGACAACTCACAAGTGATATTCTAACAACGACTTCACCTAATTCCCGCTAATAGCGCCTTTTAGAATCTTGTTATCAAGTTGACTACTCTAATTTATACATTTTATAATTTACTCATTTTATGAGTAAAATATTCAATCTATTGTAAAAGAAAAAAAAACCCCACCAACAATAAAGTTCTAAATAACTGCATATTGCATTGCTATACTTATTAAAACAGTAAATGTAAAGCTATACCAATTATTTAATAAATAAAATTAATTATTTTGTTCATTAAGTTAATGGATGTAGATATCCCCTGTATATAATTACAGAAGACGTTCAGTCTACACGCTATGGAATCCTACTTGGCGAAAAAACAAGCTTCGTAGTTTGGTTTGGATAAAAAATCATATTTTTCTGATAATAAGTGTAGGCCCGACTTCTTTCCGACAAAAAGTGACATCTGTCTATCAATTGACAAGCAGCCCATCCCCTCATCATTGCAAATGGGCCCACCTACATCATAGTTGATCCTATGCCATCAACTCGCATTAAATGCTGCCGAATCTCCTCAAAAGACGAGCTGAATGTTGATAAATAGGTGTATTAAACTCAATACAAGATCTTTTTTTCGGCACATTTAATTCGAGCATTAAACACCTCGGTTGTAAATAAAACCGACCTACTGTACTAAAATACCGACTTCTGTAATCATAAAAACCGACTTCTGAAAACTCAATAAAAATCCCATTTTCTGCAACTTATATCATTTTATCTTCTTTAATTACGTTGTTAAATTCTGTTTATCAACAAAAATGTAACTCCTTTTCGAGGGAAATGAAAATAAGTTTTATTAAATATTTTATTAAATGCATCAGCTAATAATTATATATATATATATATATATATATATATGTGAATAATAAGTATAAATATAAAATTTATATTGTTTTATTATTTAAAATAATTTATTATTGTATACACTATTGAAATAAAAAAAAAGTTGAGTAGTTGAGTCATTTATTAAACTATAAATAATTGACTATTTTGTTTATGTCCAAGTTAATATTGACCCGTAAGTAATTGAGTAATATATTAAATTATAAATACGCACCAACGGACAAGGTTGATCTTCGTTAGATTTGCACACCACCTTGAATGATTTCTTATTTGAATATGTTGTCTTAACCTCTCTCAAACTACTAACGTTCTAACTCATGATACCCATCTGTGCTTCTTCCTTGGACCGGAAAACAGTACCCAAACAGATAGTCTCAATATTTCCATTCCAACGTAGCAGAGAATGCTCATCCTGGTCTACACACGACGGGTCCCAGTCACCCATCTCGCGATACACGTGCTGACCGCTACTAGGAAATGAGTGTTCTTCAATATATTCTGGTTCACTCTCCTCGTTTATTGATCTATCCGATTCTGTTTCCGAGGTATCATCTATGAAATCGTCTTCATCATGAATGAAATCATCATCACTTTCTTCCTCATTATCGCATTCTCTAACTGTTGAGCTTGTCCTTTCGCCAAAATTACGAGCATGCGAAGTGGACGTACCCTCAACATCAGCCACTCCCCCGTAAAAAGGGGCAACATCCTCAAACTACGTAACCTCTGTAGGTGCCTACGTAACCTGCTTCAACTCTAAATGCAAATACACATAGGAGAAAGGAGGGAAATAATATATCCACTGAAGAGGACTATCAGTATTCAGGTTTCCAATATTTCACGAACAATCGGGTTGGTTAGTCAGTAAACTAATCTCCTCAGTTATCCAACCATTTTGACGAAACCCAAAATTTTCATAAAGAATATCTACTAATTGTTCAAATAATATCTTCTCCCCAATGCTAAATGAACCATCCGGAGAGTTTTTAAAATCTAAAAAATAATATAACAACTCCTTGGGATGATTCCAATACACATTAACAAAGCATAGTCCACTAGACGTCATTTATACCTGTTGCAAAACACACTTTCAATTCTTCCCAATTACAACAACACATACTTTCTAATCCAACGCCCAAAAAATTCAATTATTCTTTTATCATTCCAACAACCAAAAAATAAAATTCATAATTTTTTTTACTAAAATTAAAATTCAATTAATACTACAACATTAAGAATAAAATTACAAATTCTTTATCAAATAATCCTCACAAACCCTAAAACTCATAATCCATCAATAACATATAATACACTTTCAATTCTTTCCAATTACAACAACACATAATTTCCCAAAAAATTCAATTATTCTTTTATCATCCCCAACAAAAAAAAAATTTAAAAATTCAATGATTTTTTTACTCAAATCAAGATAAATATTTCCAATTGATACTACAATAACAAAAAAAATCACCAATTCTCTTATAAAATAACTTTCCAAAACCCTAATTCTCATAATCCAAATATACAATACAAATCATCCAATTTTCGAAAAAATTCTCAACATACATCGAAACCCATCATCCAAGAACAATGTATAATCGTTTAACACAACTATTAAATCAACAATAAATCTTTTCTAAACTATACTCATCAAAACAAATAAATATTTCTTACGCATTCATAAACAACAAAAAAAATGTAATTACATTACATTAAAATAACAACTAACCTTTTCTCCGAATCGATTGATTGTTAAAAGTATTTTTTTTTTTTTTAATTTTGAG